AACTTCTAGAAAGCAGCAAAAGAGGCAAAATGAAGCATATTTGCTACCTAAATTTGGCCTTTGGACCACTCTATTGTATAAATTGCCAATTTTTCTGGCCAGTGTGGCAGTGGGAGACACATATTAATGTGTGAGACACACTAGAGGGAGACACACACATCTGGAAAGAGTTCCCCAGAGAGGTTCACCTGGCACCTCCTGCACATTCTTTTAGGCACCAGGTGAAAACTTTTTTAAATTTGATAGTATTTTAATTGTTAACTTGTTTTAAGCAGCATTTTAACTGTGGGTATGTATCAGTTTTGTGCATCTTATATTGGTCTTAATGATTTTTATTTGCAATTCTGTATTCCGTATTTTATTTTGTATTTTGTTGTAATCTGTCCAGGGAGCTGTATGGCTAATGGGGCAGGTTAGAAATCTAATAAAATAAATAAATAAATAGTTATTATTATAACCTCTAAGGATTCGACAAACTCTCTATATAACAAGAGTATCCTGAAGGAATTTTTAACAGGATAATTGGCAGTTTCAAAACTCCTACCAAAAATGTATGCTAATTTTCATTGCAAACAAATCCTGGGAAGTCACATGGGCCCTAAACTGAGTAGAGTAAATCAACTAATCATTACACAATACTGAAACTGAACACATTGGTAAATGATTCCTAAATAAATAGATATCTATCTTTTTAAATGGGGTTAAATAGCTATATTGATTTCAGTCCGGTCATATTGCCTCCTTCTATAAGAACTTTAATTAAAATACATCTTTTTCATTTCAATATTATAGTGATATATACTACTTTATAAAGCTCTCTTATCTTCTGGTTGGATTTGTGTTCTTTGCTTGTATTTCTGACAGCATTACAACTCAGGTGTATTTTTTGCAGCAGTATTTATTTTCCTTCTTGAAAAAGGTCTAAGAGAGTGTCAGATGACAGAAAGTTTTATAAGTTTGAACAGGCTTACTTTTTTATTTGTTATATTTGAGAAATACAGAATTAGATCAGTAATGAAGTTAACACCTCTTTTGCATTACTACCCCATGTTTTGCATAGTTGTAAATCAGTCTAAATCTAATAGAACCTGTTTAAAGTGTTTTTATTTTCAATGAACATAACAAACTTAGCAGGCTAAATAATACTTAGAAATGAAAGGCTATATAGGCTATTACTATTTTTAATTGTATGCCTGTCACTTGAGCTTCCTGAATTCTCCACTACATTACTGGGAGACACAATTAGTCTCTTTACCTCACATGGGTAATAGAGATAAAATTTTATTAATTATCTATTGAGACAGCTAGTATTGTGATTTCACTTGGCTTCATACCACTGAAAAAGAAGTAAAATCCTGTATTCTGGGACTGACCCCTTGAGCCAACCAAATAAACTATGTGCAACAGATAGCAAGTTTTAAAATAGCAGGAAATACTACAAAAAGTATGATACAGTATAAAATACCAAGTAAAGGAATTAGTACCAAGCAGATGTTTTAAATCCTCCTTGCTTCAGGTAATTTTTAGAGAATGTTTTCCCAAGTATTCCTGCCACATAAACTGTGCTTTAATCTCCAGGATTATATTAATACAATCCTGTACATGTTCCAGTGGGACCTACTCTCATGTAAGTATGCACACGATTGCAGCCTAAACCTCAGCATTTTTACTTAACCATTCATTGTTTTATTTCCCATCATATTAGCAATTGCAGGGTCTGTTAATTAGAATTTTTCTTGGGTACTAATTATACTTCTTCAACCTGAATATGATTATAGGAGAATCCAAATCTAGTGATATACTGAGCAACTAACAGTCTGAAACATGAAATAAATCAAGCATGAAAAAGAGTTTTGGGATGTGTAAACTGTCTTCTAATAAAAGGTTTTAGGTGCAGCAGACAAGGGATATTTCAAATAAAGCTTGAAATAAGTAGTTTAAGAAGGAGCTGTTCTATGTTTCAGAGCACTGATTTGGTAAAGGAAATTCCACAAGTGATAGCAAAGTAGCTCAATCAAACAAGTGGTAAAAATGAAACACAGTAACAATAAGAGTGGTCAACATGCCATTTTAACTCATTCTTCTACTGGTATTTATTGCCTTTATGCGTCACAACTGATTCTCTGTCTCTGGTATAATTGCAATTATAATTATGTCTCCATTTGTATTTTTCTAATTGAATTGTTGCTTTGTTTTATTGTAGACCATTCTGAAACTTACAGAACTGAGGTTTGTATAAACTTAACAGTTCTGGATCTGAAGGAGCACATGGCTAGTTTTGCATGTCATACAATAATTTGGGGATTTGGTTCATACACAGCAGCATACCATGTCATAAGGCCACCACTATTTTATTTATTACACTTGTTTAAGGCTGCCCGTTGGCATCACACTCTCTTCATTTTCTAAAAGCAGTCTGTTATAAGCCCTATCTGCTGTTTAAAGGTGGGCAGGAAATTTAAATATCCCCACTGGGTGCCTTTGAATCCAATCTTAATAAATACTATTTGAATATGAATGTGCTTTAGGGAAACTCTTAATACCTTAAAAATTATTAATACTCACAGTAACATTCTATTGGCAAGTTACCAAGTAGCATCTTAAAATAATCAGTGTTATATCTGAAATTATTCATCATTTTTATCAATTTCTTGATCAAAGCGGCATTATAAAAGCTGTAGAAAAGTGTAGGAACTGCAAAACAAAACTTCATTTCTCTACTAGTGGAATGTGCAGAATGGAGCTACCCGATTTAAGGCACAATATGGTATCCTGCCTCCTGATGGAGCAATATATTTCAGCAGTGCTCCAAAATCTCCTTTGGTCCGTATCACTTTCCAGATAAATTTCAGGGTGTTATTTTTGATCCTGCTTTCTGGGACTGCTTCTTCCCTGTGGTTGCATCACTGTGCTCATCACTCTCTGAGGCTGGCCAATTTTTAACTAATTGTATTAATCCTTGAAAACTGATTGAAAATGTTTATAGCCTGCTTTTAATACCATGTGAGTAGCAGAAATTCAGCTCGTATTTAAATAGGTAATAAGGCTAAGATGGTGTGTACATCTACTTGAGAGTAAGCTACAGTGATTTAATACCGAAAATGTTTATAGCCTGCTTTTAATACCATGTGAGTAGCAGAAATTCAGCTCGTATTTAAATAGGTAATAAGGCTAAGATGGTGTGTACATCTACTTGAGAGTAAGCTACAGTGATTTAATACCGTAAAATAGATTTCCAAGTAAACATACACAGAATTAGGCTGCAGATGTCCACTGTAGATAATGGGACCATATAAAGTGATGTTTTTGTACTGCTCCACAACTGTGGAGCTAGCACCTGGAAACCATGGTAAGATCATTGTGATGTGACTGGCTTTTTATGGCTGGCGTAAATTTGTTTTGAACATCTGGCAGTTACATATGTTTCGCTTAGATCTCAAATGACTTTTACTTGCATATTTTATTTCTCTTTCTGGTTTAATCATTTTGCCTTAAGAAAAAGTCTTTCTAAATAAAGAGTTATAACAGAAAAAGTATCTCCAAAAGTTATAATTCTAGGCTGTTATAAACCATATAACATCCACTTTTGCATTATCTGCTAGACCTGTAAGCGAACCTTATAACTCTTAATGCTACAAGAGTTAAGAATTTTCTGTTCTAACCTTTTTTGGTTTTTGTCTAAATTATTGCAGATGCGTGTGAAACAGCACTGAACTTGTCAAAACAGCACAGGTAAACATGCTGCCCAAATGCATGCATGATGAACAGATGTCGATTGTAACATGCAGGCATTTGTGCAGTAAAACACTAGTTTAATATGTGGAACTGTGGTATAGTTTGGATTTGATGCTGTTATCAGTTTTTAATGCTATCTGCTTAGCTCCCATAATGGCCTTTAGTAATATGCTTCTAATGCCTGTGTACATGCACAGTACATGTGTTATTGCTATATTTACAAGTAATGCAGGTGTGTGAACCTGCAGAGTGATGCAGGGTTATGCAATACTGAGAATGTGAATGGAATGTGGAAAAATACATTGCAGTATTTGTGTGTGGCACACATTACTGGCGAGCAAATTAAATCAGAGCTTTTGGTTTGTACTTAACTATTACAAATACCTGAATTCTGCATTTGTCTTCCTCGATTTCCAAGCCTTTCTATGCCCTGGCGTATCAGTAAACTCCCATTTGGCTTATATATCGCGCATGCAATGGAGAGCAATAAACGTGGTTGTAATGTGAATAAGTGGAATGTGTTTGGAGGCGAGAACGTGGCCGTCCATCGCAGGAGGTGTGCGTGCAGTTGCTTGCACGTATGAATGCAGTGCAATATGTGCCAGTGCAGCGTGATGCAGTCAATTACGTGTGGATGTAAAAATGGTGACTGATGCATGTGTGGGTGCAGTGCAGGTGCATGGAGTGAAATACCGACGTGTTCCAACGAACGCAGGGCGTACGAGCTCTCTCAAATATTTCTGCCGTTTCATAAATACGGAACAAGTATTGGGAATTTGCAGACAGGCGAGATTAATGCATTTTCTGCGCAGAAAAACAAAAACAAGAAATCCTTCGGATTCTCCCCACACCGGTATAGCAGGACCTCCCCAGCTCTTCTCGTGACCCAATCGAATCGGACGGAGGAGGCAGAAAAGAGCAGAACAGGCAGTGCTTTCGGAGTTCGATTGCTACTGCCTGGACCCAGTACTTGAGGAGTCCTCCTCGGGCTAAGAACTCACCCGCGTTCTTTTCGGCTCCTCCTCCGGCCGGTCTGGTTCGCTCGGCGTTCGTAGGCTGCGCCTTTCTCCCGTCCTTCGCCCCGCCCTCCAGTGCACTTCTGCCGAGCCGCGCGCACGCCATTGGGCCGCTTCTTTGAGCGTTGGCACCGCCCTTTCTCCATCCCGCTGGCTCCGCCTCGCGCGCTTTTCCTCTCCCCTCCTCCTCTTCCTCCGCCACCGCCTCCCCCTTCCCTGCTCTCGCGCTCCTTCTCCCCCCCCTCTCCCCCCCCCACCCGCCTCCCTGTCAGTGCGGTGGCTGCGCTGGGAAACATGGCGTCGGAGGGGATGATTTTAACGAACCACGACCACCAAATCCGCGTCGGGGTTCTCACAGGTAACGAACCGCGACTGGGAAGCCGGGCAGAGGTGGCTACGGGTCGGGGCTCGCGGTCAGTCCGCTTCGTACTGGGTGTCCCTGCCGCCGCCGCCGCCGCTGCCTCCGTTTGCTCCACCTCGACCACCTTCTCTCCCTGCCGGGGCTCCGCCGGCGCTGCGCCGGAAGCCGGACCACCTGGAGCCGGCTTCTTTCCCTCTGCTCCCTTCCGAGCCCGGCCTCTGCCTCGACCGCGCTGAGGTACAAGAGAGGAAGGACAGGGAAACTGGCTTGGCGGGCGACCGTAGCGCTGGTGGGATTGGGCGCCGCTGCTATTGCTGCCGCATGCGGGCGGGAGGCTGTTCAGTGCCGCAGCCTCGAGTTCGCCGCTCCCGCTGGGGACTGGCCCGTAAATAACCCGTGCGGTGAGAAGTAGAGCAAAAAGGGAAAGGGTGCAGGGAGAGGGGCATCGGGAGATGCCGGGCTTGCCTCGGGCGCGAGGGGGGATGCAGGTGCAAAGGTGCTTGGGAAAAGCGGGCACCTGGCCGGGCTGCGAGTGCCGGAGCGGCATGACCCGTTTCTCTCTTCACAGGCCCCGGAGGAATCCGAGCTCGGCATCCCTTCTCTTTCGGGGAATGCCTTGATCCTGGGCCGTTTTAAATTGATACCTTTGCAGTTTCTTCTTCTGGTGCCTTTCCACTCTGGTTCTTCAAGCCTGGAGGAGCCTGCGAAAGATTGGGGGGCAGGTTCCGAGCGTTGGGTGGGGGACCCCCGGCAACATGTCCTTGATGGGGACCCCTCCTCTGTCCCCCTGCTGGTTTAATCGCACCAGCTGCGCTGCTAAGAGAGAGGGAAGAGAAAAGGCAACCGTCTTCGTTGCTGCTGCTCCTTGTAGCCGCCTCCACTACTCCGTTCAAGGAACAACTACCAACGCCTCCACACACTCTCCGGGTAGCGCAGGAGTTGGGATTGGGCCCACTGGGCCCTTCCAGCTCCTCCACCCGAGGGAGACAGTGAGCAAGAGGAGGCAGGAGCTGATGGTCGTTGTAGTGACCGATGATGCTAACTCTCCTAAGCGCATGAAAGCTAGTGGAAGAGGCTGCAAGGAGCTACTGCCGCCTCTGCCTCCTCTTTGAACAGCATGGCAAATTGGATTGGGCCCACTTATCGCCCAGTTGTAAGTGAGTGGTTTCTTTTTGCCACTTCCTTAGGTAACTGAGCAGCAGAGGTGGCAGTAAGGAAGACCTAGCACTGTCTCCAGTGTGCTTTCACTGGGCATCATGTTGATTAGGATTGAAACCTGTGCGTCCAACCCTCTTAGTTGTGTTACCCAGAGGAAGAGTGTGAATGAGTGGAGACAATGGCTGTTCCTTGCTGCTTGTTGCTTGCTTACCTGCCCAGCCAAGGAGCAGCCACTTTCACTTGCTTGACTACTCCTTAGGGCATGTGTGCTGGGCCCAGTTCTTTCTACCTACTTTCTCTCTTTGGCAGGCAAATAAGATTCTTCAGACTGGCTTTCACTGGCCTATTTTGGGCAGGAGGTGGACAGCAGCACAAAAGAGTAGAGACCCACACTTACTTTCAGTGATAGTGCCCTTCAGTGGCATGTGGTCGAGGGTTTTCACTTTCGTGTTTTGCAAAGGTGATAGGGCTTTAGCTATTTCCTAATGGTGCTGACCTCAGAATGCAAAACTGCATTCTCTTGGGAAACCTAGTCCAGAGTATAACAGGTCTTGTAATGAGTATGTATTGCTTCCCCCACCACCATTCTCTTCTTTATTTTTCCGGTGATGTGACTGACTAGGTGTCTTTTTGGAATTTTGGCTTTGGGACCATGAGGCATATCTTGAAAGGGCAGCTGAAGGGTTTCACTGATGAGTTTAGAGTATGTAGTGATGGAAGGATGGGGAATGTGGGCAAGTGGACTTAGAATTTTTCAAAGGAGAGGCTTTCCTTGTGTATATTTTTGTTTATCTTCTTAAAGGGGCTTGGTGAAAGCTGAATTCCACCCAGTGAAGATTCTTTGTCGGCAGAAAGAGAGAATAAAATATCTGAATGAGGTCTTGAATAGCAAATTGGAAATTTATTTATTTAGCCTTGTGGTATTAAATCAAAATGCATCTTTCTTAAAAAGAATGTTCTATATTCATTTACTGCATGGTTGGCTGTCCCAGTTTTGGAGGAGCCTATGGTCTGCCTATGAATAGCTACTTGGAACCTTCCTAAGTCGGAATATGACAGAGGGAAATCCCAGAGTCTGATAGCATGCTGTTCTCTCTTCTTGGTACTGAAACTGTCAGCCCTTGATTTTCATTATCAGTCGCTGCCAATAGAATGTAGTTACAGAACTTGAAATTTTTCTTCCTTTGGGTTTTTTGATCTGTTAAGTCTTTTCTTGCAACAGTGTTGGGGCAGAATAAATTTCTAGAAGTTATTGCTGTAAATCTTAATGATGTTTCTGCATAATAGAGAACTAGATTTTTAAGCATAACATCTGATTTTGCAAGGTATGATGATTAGATTGTAGAGATTTTGTTATCTTCTTATGTACATACTTTTCCATCTATATCTAGGAGGCAAGTATACTTTATAAGATTAGGAATAGGAGAAAAATAGGTAAATGTAAATTTTTCATTGCATATGTTTTTTAATTTTCATTTTTGGGCTGATATGACTTGATTAGTATAATAGTTTTAATAGTATTTATATTGGGAATATATATAGTAATACAATACTATGTTTTTTAATTTCGAAGACTTAATGTCCTTATTTGAATGTAGTAATTTTCAAACACAGCTTTTTTTTCCTATTTGCAAATATAATTGATCTTCCAATCAAAATGATATCTCTAAAAGGATCAATTCAAATAGGGGTGTAAGGATTATATACTGCGAAGTATAACTGTCCTGATGAAACTAAATGTCAAAAATTGCAGAAAGTGCAGTTTCAACCAATAGGGAAGTTTCTTCATTTGCCTAGTTGATTGACTGAAATTCTTTAAAAAGAGCTTGGAATTATTATTTCAATTATTCTGCCATTATTTAATCTTAACATGTTTTGCCTCATCTAGGTTTTACCTACTGTAAGCTAGTAATTGTTCAAGTAAAGATGTTTCTGGAGCTACAATAAATTGCACATGCAGTGTATAAATACCATGAATTACTTCAAAAAATTCTAAACTATTTGCTGTCCTTCTCTTTTGGAAATATCATTACATTTCATTTATAGCATGTTAGGAATAATTGGAAATCTGTTCATTTGTATCATATCAATAAAGTCATACTGAAGTCTTTATAGACATAGCTATTGGCAATATTTTTTGAGGAAATGCTGAAAGTGATGAGATCTATTGTATGCTTTTTGTTCTTTCATTTTTTGGATTTTGCTTTAGATTAAGTGGAGAATGTCAACTATATTGTTTGTGTGATTGATAGAATACTATAGTTAACCGTTTGAAGTGATATATACTACTATTCTGTCATCTCTAATATATTTTTAACTACAAATGTGACATTCTTTGATTGTAAGAATCCTGCGTCTCTAAGAACTTAACTGCACAATCCTGCCCATTTCTTGTGTAATTGCCCTACATATCCTTGATAACACTGTGTTGCAATACCTAAAAATAAAATATAATAATGTAGTATAAAGCTTATGCTTTTTCTCTTACTTGCTCTCACAATTCAGTTCAAATAAGAATAAGTCTTAGCGCTCTGTGAAACAGCCAGTAAAGGCCAGGAAGGGGTTGACAGCTAGATCAATGCAGTGTGTCCTTAGGCTCTTGACATATAATCAGGGGTGCCTTTTTGCTAATGTACACTGCAATAGAACATGGGGGCAGAGCTGATCTTTTGGCCAAGCTAAGCCTAGGCAATAATAGGGATATGGAGAATTTTGTTTCAGTTCATTAAACATCAGAGCCTGTACCATTCACATCTTGAAATGCCACTATGTTCATTCATAGGCTTGTGCTTGAAGTTACATTAGAAAAGTGTGTATTTTATTGGGGGTAAGCATTTTAGCGTGATAGTCAGTGGGCAGGGAGAATGCATTTGGGTGTGCATTCTTAAAACTATGCACCTGAATGCACACTTCAGTCATTCAATAAATAAAAATTTAAAAAATTGGGAATGGGAACATGGCAGACCAAGCTTCAAGGGGGAACTAATCCCAGCCCTAACTCTAAGCTTGACAAGCTCAAGTCTTGCTGGTTCTCCCATCCCTAGACCATAATGTAGTACTTAGTCCATGGAGCCAAAAATATATTCCAGCTTTCTCAATATCCCATCTAATTTCTAAACATAACAAGACTGTGTAAGAGGCTGAGAGAAATAGGGTCTTTTGAAATACTGCATGGGCATTTGAAATACTACATGGGCATAAGAACAGGCATACAAATAATTACTACAGTAAGAAATAGCTGTTTGATTAATATGTGCTGCTGTTGTAATACGGAATGGGATAGGCAAAAATCAAGAATGTTTGATTTTTGAGCACATTTTTTATTCTGAAATGTGTTTGTGAGTACCATGAAAAATTGCTATTCAAGGTTGGTGGATGGTCTCCTCCCAATGCTCACTTGCATAAGGGTTAATATGTATCTTACCTGAGAATTTATTATTTTGACATACTCTATTCTACTGCTGTTCACTTTGAATATATGATTTTACAAAAATGATGATTCCAAGAGTCATGTTTCTCTGTGAGTGTTGATTGGCTTGAATTTCCAGGCAGGGTTGATTTCTGTGAAGTGGTTGCAAAGGTGTAGTCTGAAAATAAGAGTTAATAGCCAGCATTTCTGTTACGTAATAGAGTTGCTACAATAGACCAAATAATGTTTGGAACATAGAGTTAATATTTATCTTCACTGAGGAATTCTGAGTAATACACGTAAACCACCTCGGGGTCATTCAGTTAGCAGGCTTGTGGACTGATACTAAACATGTTCACCCAAAAGTAGATCACATTGAATTCAGTGGAACTTGTTCCCTGATTAAGCACAATCAGGATTATAGCCTTCA